CTGTGAGGGGGTTGCTCAGTGTTCCCTCTCCGTGGGGGAGCCTCCGGGCTGCACAAAACACTGTGTGCCCTCAGTGGATTAAAAACATCCCCGCTTCCTACAGCAGATTGGGGTCAGGCTGCTGCTCCAGGTACGTACAGGCCAGGAAAGGAGTTGTACATGAGCAGACACCACCTGAGGAGGCACCATGAGCAGCTTTGCGGCCAAAAAGTGCCATTTTTAGACTGAAAACAAACAAAAAAAACCTCCCAAAGAGTTCAGCAGGCACCTTGCAGCAGTTTTTCCTTTCTTCAGCCGCGGGAATGATGTTACTTGGAATTGTAACCTGCTGTATGGACTGTGGGCTGATCCTCCAGCTGTCAGGGACCTGATGGGGACCAGAGATGGTTTGAACACTCCTCTGTACCCAGCAGTGGGTCTGGCTCTGCTGGAAACACTCACATCAGCCCCACATGTGCCTTGTCAAGGACTTTTGCAGCACTTCAGGCCAGATTTAATGAAGGGTACGTTGGGCAGAGGGGGAGCGAGCACCATCCCACGCTGTGTGGAGGAAGGTCTGCCTGCAGAGCCCGATTCCTCAGCTCTAATTACAGGAACGGGTGGCTTTTCCCTTCTCAGGCTGAAAAAAATTGGCTCAGAAATCCTGAGAAACCACAACACAAATGTCTGACGCTGTTCCCACATGGTCTTGAGCGAACAAAAACCCTCTTGAAATCAGCCCTTGCCTCCCAAAATAGGCAACACCACTTCAAAAGGGAAGAGAGGGGGGGAAAAAAATCCCAAACTCAAGGCTTCACAGGGTGAGAGCACTTGCAGCCTCAGAGTTTCTGTAAGTGTGTTGTTGTGCCTGCCAGCACAGCCAGGGTTTGGTCTGGGATAAAGCTGGATTTGCCTGGGGAGATGGTGGACATCCCACAGGAATGCTCCCAGCTGCTCCATGCTCTGCAGCCACCGCCTGCCATGGAGGGCTGATGCGTTGTTGCCATCCCTCCTTCTCCATCCTCTTGATTTGTTTTTACCTGGGAATATTAAACTGAGCTTGATCCCACTCTGGAGGTCACAGAGAGGTTCCTTGCAAGGAAACACGGTCTGGTGCGGGCTGAGCAAAGAGGCAACACCAACATGCTTATCCCGGGGAGGACCAGGATCTGCTCTGGCTCTTGCACCACCTAAACAGCAGGAAAGCACTTCTAAACCAGAAGTGGGACACACTTACCAGCCGTAGGGTATCCATGTGCCAGCGTGGATTGCCCTCCGGAGCGGTGCTTTCCGCTCTTTGTTCGCCCAGCCCGCAGCACTCAGAAAGGCAGGCGTGTCCAACCACCTCCTGGGAGCTTATCTTGCCCCAGAAGAATATATTACATTTCCTTTTTGAATTAAAGCTTAATATTTTTGCAATAAAAGAGAGGAGGCTTGAGTGCGAGGCGATAAAGTCACACGTGGTTTGCCTCTGCTGAAGTTAAATCCCACAGGGAGCATTTATTTTAGCGGGAGCAGCCCTGGATTCACCTTGGACCAGAAAGCAATCAGGAGGGTCAAAAGCAGGTCAGGACCTACACTAAACTGATACTTTGAAAATAATTGGCTATATCCTCCATTTCAAGAAACTGAAGCTGTGACCACAAGCAGCAGCATTAATAAAATTGGGCATTTATTAATCCTCCTTCTGAGGGTTGCAAATTAAAAGAGGGAGAAGGGTGTGCACACCTGGCAGCTGCCATCCCGGGATTTGCAGTGTTTTTAAGGATGAGTGCTGATGGAAACAGGTTACAGGGAAGTGGAGCCTAAAGTCTGGCCAGTGCTAAGAGCTCTTAAATAACGCCTTGTCTGGTACCCAGAGTAGCTGGGGTGGTTTCAAAGAGCTGGTGACTTGCAGCATCCTTTGCAGAGGGATTATCCCTGCTGCATCTCGGGAAGTTGTGTGGATTGACTCAAAATTTGGCTTAGTAGAACATGTTCTGTTGGATGCAGGGACAGAAGTGGAACTGATTTTTACCCGTTGTGCTGGATGGTTTGTAATTGTCCCTGTCCATCCTGTGGAGTTTGTTATTTCTCTTCCAGCCAACACTGGTTTCTAATTAGGAGACATAAAATTAAGATGGAAGAGCAGCAGTCTGCAAGGGTATTGCTGCTCGGGAAGGAATCTGGGCTGGATTTAAGACAAAAATATCCCCTTGTTTGCAGGATTTTGGGGGGGAGAGGGTGATGTAAGCACTGCTCTGGGGCTCCGAGCGGTGCAGGTGTGATACTCAGCCCTGGTGATGCATTTCAACCAACTGACCCATTTTTTTCCCTATAATTCCGCTGTATTTTATTTTTTTTTAATGCTAGATGTATTCTTCTCCTGGGAGGGTGATGTGACATCTACAGAGCCCTCTTATGGTGCTGCTTTTAGGGTTACAATTGCAAAGCCAAGAGCTAAAATAGCTTGGCCAAGACCATCTTAAATCCGGCTATTCCCCCATCAGGATGCATCACATCACAACTTTGGGAAGCATAACACTGTTCTGAAAGCAATCTCAGGATCTCCTTTTCTGCCAGGAGATTTGTGGAAGATGTTTCTTTATTTATTTAATGGGAAGGGAACAAATTCTTCCCCACAAGCCATCCCCGTGCTTCCCTCAGACTCAGTGTTCTGTGCTGCTACAAGAAAACCCTTTCAGAAATAGGAATTATTTGGATATTGCAGAAATCCACAGGGTTTTGGCCTCATCCATCAGCTGCCTTTGGCACCAGCTGCTTTTTAGAGGTGCTTAATAAAAGCAAACGTGCTCCGGTGTTTCTCTCTCCTCTCCTTTTATAACCCCACTAGTCCCTCATTTCCATCCCGCTCCTGGTCAGCAGGGATGGCTTTGATGGTGAGCTTTCCCCCCCAGGCTTGAGCTGGGAATTAAGCCTGGCTTAACTTTTACAGCACAGTGCACCTGGCTGGGGGTTTTCCACCAAGACTCGTTTATATTAAATAACAACATGCGGAGGAGCCTGAGTGGTTTTGGTGAACTCCTGTAAATGCAAAAAAGGGGGATTAAGGAGCTTTAGGGCTTTAATGCTTTAGGAGGAAAAGCCACGAGAACAATGGATTTCCCCCAGGTTTTGTACAGTTTAGAAATTTGATTTGGAAAGAAGAACTGAAAAAAAGTTTTTGCTTCTGTTTCGTATGGGCTGAAAGGTCATTTGAACCCCTCTGCCCTCAGATTTCCCTGGAGCGGGGAAACTTCACATAGTTTCCATCCTAAATCCATACATTACATTATACTAGCAGCATTTATGGTTTAACCAGCTGCTTAGTGACTGCAAATGATGGAATTTGAATTTTGTTAAGCAAACAGAGCTATCTTTGCATACATTTTTCATTACTGGAAACAGAGATAGTCCCTGGAGTGTTCCAAGGGCGGGTTGGACGAGGCTTGGAGAAACGTGGTCTAGTGGAAGGTGTCCCTGCCCTTGGTCTTTAACATGGTCCTTAAGGTCCCTTCCAATCCAAACCATTTTATGATCTTTTCCTCTAAATACAATGTCTTACCCCTAATACCCAAGAGACCCAAGAAAAAGATACTGAAATTTTAAGGAGAGAACAAAAAATGAATGCGACAGTATGGAAGAGGAGCAGTGGGAAAATGGAGACCTTTCAGTAAAAATTGTACTTAAAAGTCTATTCAAGTTGGTTGACACCAAAAAGTGCCAGGAAATCTATGATTTGGGGTTTACTTAATACTTTAGCCTACTTAAGACATATTTCTGTGCTTGAATGAAAGGCAAGTAAAGACCTACCCATTGTAAAACCTTTCTCAAGAAATGACTCCAAATCACAGGAGTTGCTCCATCTCTCCTGTCCTGTCAGTGTAGAAGTTATTTGTTAAAAATAAATTGTACTTGGTAGCATCAAACTTCCAGCCAGGAAATGCAAACCCATATTTCCTGGGAAGGAAAAGCAAATCCAAAGATTATTTTTTGAAGGGGGTTATTCAGCCTCACCTCATTGTCAGGGGTGTATTTTCACCATTGTTTTGAATGCTTGGTCTTGTGGAGAGTGAAAAGGCACGTGGCTGGAAGAGCACCTGAAGAGGGGCTGAGCTGGGATGTTCCCACTGCTGATGGGAGCTCAGCCAAGTGCCACATTCTTCAGCCTGGAGAAGGGAAGGCTCCCTGGCTCCAAGGAGACCTTGGAGCCTCTTCCAGTGCCTAAAGTGGCTCCAGGAGGGCTGGAGAGAGGGACTTTGTACAAGGGCCTGGAGGGACAGGACAAGGGGGAATGGCTTCCCACTGCCAGAGGACAGGGTGAGATGGAATATTGGGAAGAAATTTTTGGCTGTGAGGGTGGTGAGGCCCTGGCATAGGTTGCCCAGAGAAGCTGTGGCTGCCCCTGGATCCCTGGAAGTGTCCAAGGCCAGGTTGGACGGGGCTTGGAGCAACTTGGTCTAGTGGAAGGTGTCCCTGCCCATGGCAGGGGTTGGAATGAGATGGCCTTTAAGATCCCTTCCAACCCAAACCATTCCATGATTCTGTGATTTTAGTAGGACTCAACAAGGCTTAGACATTCCTGTGGATGAGAAGTACCCCCACAATGACTTCGGCAGATCTGTAAATGCTCGTGTTCCAGGGCACAAGCCAAGTCCTAATCCAAAGGGAGAGACAGAGATTCCTCCCCTGGATCCCCCAGCCTGGGGGTTTTTATGCTGCAGAGCTGCTCAATTGATTTTTTTCCCTAGAGCTGCAACCCACGCAGCACCTTCCATTAAGCAGCTCCCACATGGCTCGTGCAACCCCATCTCCTTTCAGGTGTTCCCATCCCTTTTGCTTCCCGGGAGGCAAAGCTCAGGGCAGGGATTGGGTAGGGCTGCGAAGCCATCGGCGAGGCACCATGGCCACCCACCCACCACCACACGTTTTATAATTTCATTTGATTATTTTTTTTCTTTTTTTTTTTTTTTGTCGGGGGACTCTGCTGCATCCCGGGCCGCGAGGGGGGAATAACCTCTTTGATTTTATTTTTTTTTCAGTTCTCTCAGGCCAGACACACCACAGCCCTTTGAAACGCTCTGTGTCCCTTACCCCACCCATGAATGTGCCAAACCAGCCTCTAGGACATGGATGGATGTCTCATGAGGACTTACGGGCTAGAGGACCCCAGTGCATCCCTTCCGATCATGCCCCCCTGTCTCCACAAAGCAGTGTAGCCTCTTCGGGAAGTGGTGGGAGTGAACATTTAGAAGATCAGCCTTCCGCTCGTAACACATTCCAGGAGGAAGGGAGTGGGATGAAAGGTGAGTGCAAAACCAGACCCCGACCCCCCCGGCACCCAGAGGCAGGAGGGAAGAGCCGCTTTCCCGGCAGGGCTGGGCTCCCACGGCGGTTTTGGGAGAGAATCCTCGTAACCAGACGGGGCCTTCCGGCCTTTCTTCCCGGCTTAGGAATTTTAGATTCAGGGGAACAAGTTAGGTTTTCTTTCAAGCAGCAGCTGGTCCCGATCTGACATCTTGCACTTGGGTGCCAGTGGGCTGGTTTTGCCCCAAAACCCTGCGAGCTGCCAGCTTTCCAAAAAGCTGGAATTTTTCCATAGCCTGTGGCTTTTGGCTGCGAGTGGTGCTCTTTTTTTTCCTCTCTCTTTTTTCTGTTTTATTACAGTGAAAAAAAGCTTAGAGTAAGCTTAGCGAGCCACGTGTGATTTGCCATTGCAGTGTTTGGTACCCACCAAGTATTTGGGGAAGTTTTGGCTTGGGATACTGATTTGCAGTGAATTTAACCTGTGTGTTTCAGTTCTAAACCAGTTTTGGTTGGTTGTCCCATTGTACCTGCATTTCACAGAGATTTTGGCAGTAAATATATGCAATTCTGTTGGTAAACAAGGCAGAAATGAATCCCTATTGCTGCAGTCGTAGATGGAGAGCAAACTTCAGGCTGAGAAGGAATAAATAGATAAAAACTGGGCAAACATACAAACTGTGAGTTCCTGGGAACAGAGAAAACGACCCTGCAGCTCTCAGACTGATTTAAACAACTCCAATTTGCATTAATGCAAAGCAGCTCAATTGTGTAAAGGCCAATGGTGTGTCAGAATAAGGAAATAATCATATTTTTTAATAGTCACAAGGTCTGATTTTAGTCTAATTGCAGACAAATTGAGATGTGTGTAACTCTGTGTGATGTGGGGCTGCATTTGGCTTGGCTCTGGATGGCTTGGATGTGCATGAAGTAAATGCATGAAAACCCCCTCGTGGTTCCAAGGAATGCGATGGAGGCAGGTCAGGTCCTGTCAGACCTGGGAAACCCTTTTTGGGAGCACGTGGTGCAGAGGGGGCTGTTTAACACTTCATTTCTCCAGGTTTCTGCTGATGGAGCTGGAGAGGAGACCATGGGGAGCTGGACTCCCTGTGATCCACAGCTGCAGCTCCAGGACCTGCATGAATAGAAACTTCCCAGTGCCATGGAATCAATCCATGTGGCCAAGTCTGCAAAAGCCAAAGGCTGTCCAGAAGCAATAATCCACTAAATCAGCTCCACATATTAAGACATCCCATTGCAGGCAGCTGGGATATGGCTGCCCTTCCTCGGGCCATCCCTTCCCAGACATCCAAACCCAATTCCCCCATTGCTGAGTCAGCCAAATGGCTTTTGTCCCACTGTCCAAGGACACACACCACAGATGTCCACAGCCTCTGGTGTCTGTGCCTGCCATGTCTTCCTCCCTCTGCTGTGTTTTGTTCAGGCTGAACTATTCCAGTTTCTTCACAGATGATGTTTTCTAAACGTGGGGTTCTCCTTTCTTCTCTCCACTGGGCTTTTTTCCAACAAGTCCATATTTTATTAAAGATATGTTGGCCAGAACTGGACTCCAGAGCAGAGCAGAGGCTTGTTTGCCTACAGACAGAATTCCTATGGCTGGGTAGCTCATCGTCCTCAAATAACAAAGCACCATGGGCTGCGTATGATCCATTGTATCCCCCAGCTTTTCCCAAGAAAAAAAAAAGGGACTGCCCGTTCCCTGCACTCGAATTGTGCTGTTTCTTTTTCCTGCAGACATGCACAACTTTGTGCATTTTCGTGGGGTTGCATCGTATTCCACCCAGAGCAGCTGCTCCCTTTGACAGGTCCCTTCTCTGAATTGGAGCCCTGCAGGCTCTCGTGGCTTGGTGTCACCCCACTGCTGGTCAGCTTGTTCCTTCTTCAGCACCTTCCAGGGCATCCAGGAGGATGCAGACCCATGGGATCTGGAATGTGGGGAGTCGAGACCCGTGACAGACCCTCATCTGACATGGCTTAGCAGTTCTTCTCCCTTAATGTCACTGTTTCTCTCCTTTCTGTTTATATTTATGCCCTCATGTCACCTATTTCTTTCCACTCATCTTTGTGCTCAAGAAGAAGGGTCCTTTGGTTTTTTCCTGGCCCCTGGTTTCTCCAGGGGTAGATGCAGACACTTGGTTCCCTGTGGACCCCATCCATCCGTCTGTCCATCCCTTCCTGTGTCCCTGCCCATGGCAGGGGGTTGGAATGAGATGATCTTTAAGGTACTTTCCAACCCAAACCATTCCAGTGATTCCTGGGGGGCACAGCTGGGAGGAGGGTTTGTGTAGAGCTGGGAGTTTTTTCTGGGAGTGTATCCATGGTGTGCCAGGAGGGCACTGCTGAAGATGTGCTGTGTGTGAATTGTTTTCCTTCCAGATTTCCTGATGGCCATGCCATGACTTTGCAATCAGCTCCTGGTAATTGCTGATTAAAGAGCAGCTCTGTGGGCAGGTGGCTCACCCATGCCTGGAGAGAGTTGGGAAGTTTGACTTTCCAAGGACTGTGAGGTCACCTTAGATGCCCTGGCACACCCTGGTTGCCTCTTTCTTCCCTGTGGGATGGGAGAAATCCCCACCACCATCCCTCTGTGTGCTGGGGTGGTTTCTCCTCCCCAGTCCACTCCCAGGATTACTGTCTCTGTTGGCAGGGGGGCTCTGGGACTGTCATAGCTCCCCAAAATTAGGACATGATCCAGGGAGACTGATGCAAAGGGAAGGAGCTGCTTCTGTGCTCTGACCCCCTGCAAAGGTTGGAGACGGGTTTCCTGCAGGGTTTAACATCTGTATGAAGTTGCATCTCTCTTCTGGAAGTACCCCCGTGGGCTTTGCCATCGGCATGGACGTGTGGAAAGGCAGCTGTCCCCAGGGCACACGGAGTCAGGGAGACTTGTAATGTGTTGTCACTAAAATGGTGTGGTTTTGTGTTAAAATGAAGTTGAGATTGGAGCCTGTGCTGGAATCGGGGCTTTCTGCTAATAATTTTTCGATTTTTTAAACAGAGATCAGTTAAAGAGGCTGCTGGTAGCAGAATTTGGGACCATTGCATGTCAGAACTTTTGGAAAACAGTGAATTTCAGCCCATCCATGCTCACTAACTGCCTTACCCTTGTGTTTGGTGTGGGGTTGATCTCCTTCTGTGCAGCACTTGAGGAATTTCATTGACACATGAATCCTGTGTGTGCCAGGGGATGGAGAGTGTGAGCAAAACGCAGCATTTTGGGGTCTTTGGCGTCCTCTGCTTGGATGGGAGTGGGGTTTGGGCTCAGCCCAGGCAGCAGGAGACTTCTGGCAGATGCACAAATTGCCTCAGGGGACCAAACCAAGGGTCCATCCTGCCCTGTCCCTGCCAGTGACAAGGTGTTGGTTCAGGAAGAGGTCATGGATGAACCCCATGGAGGCAGCCCTGGGACTCGGGAACAATCAAAGAGAGGGGAGGTGTTGCTAACTGGTATTTAGGCCCAAGAGAGACATTTCCTGAGCCTCCACCTGCTCTCTCCATTGAAGGTGTGGGGTTTGGGGCTGAGACACTGGTTTGTCATTGTTACTGCACCCGGAGATGGTACTCCCAGGTGGGGAAGGGGACAAGGACTATGGACAAGGGTACTGCTGGGAGCAGAGCATGAGCTGGGGAGGTTCAGACCCCAGACCTCCCCAAACTTGCAAACCCCTGAGGAGCTGCTTGCTGTCACATTGCCTTCTCCATGGAGGACACCCCATCGTGGGGTCTGGTGGGGTTTTGCGTGTCACTGAGGAAGGATTCCCCTCCCAGGTCCCTCCCTGTGAAACCACATTGATGTCAGGAGGATAAAAGTATTTTTGGGTACCCGTCCAGCCGGGCACAGGGGTGCCACACTGCAGGTAACAACTGGGAAGGAAGAAGTCATTTCAGTCGGTGCGTTTTGAGGTCCCAAGGCACCCTTTGAAACAGGCTGTGGGACCATCTTTGATGGCACATCATTTTTCCATCCAAAATCCATCCCTTTGTTTCTCTTTAAGCAGCAGTTCCATTTTAAACCCACGCCATCTTCCCTCACGCCATAAATCAGTGTCTGCCATCTGCAAAACATCTCTTTGCTCCTCCTAAGCTCGACCACGCCAGTGACTTCAGCCTTTCCCATGTTCCCGGGGAAAGGGCAGCGAGGAGCTTGGCATGCAGTGACACAGTGCTGTCTCCCCACGGGCTAAATCCCAGTGTCTTGCCCACAGAAACCCAACCTCTGAGGATGTCAGAGGGCTGGTTCCTCCTGCCATCCATACCCACAGCTCTGTGTCCGCATCCGGGCGCTGGTTCCTCCTGCCATCCATATCCATACCCATATCACCATGTCCCTCCCAAAGGTCCATGGAGTTCAGTGAGGTGTCCAAAGCCCCTTTGGGGTGGTGGATGGCGCCACAACAGCCCCTCCTACTGTTGATGCTGTTGCTCGTGGTTGTGCCACGAACTCAGCGGAGCTCTCCTGTCCTTTCCTTTGCGCTCCAGATGTCCCGGCCTGGCTGAAGAGCCTCCGGCTGCACAAATACGCCGCCCTCTTCTCCCAGATGACGTATGAGGAGATGATGGCCCTCACCGAATGCCAGCTCGAGGCACAGGTACGTCCCACGTCTCCTGGGGGACGAGACTCTCCCGGGTTTCCTTTGCGTGCCTTCCCATGGAAGGCGTTCAGCCCGCGGGTGGTTGGGAAGCAAACAGAAAAAAAAAAGGAAAATTTGGGTTTGGGAATGAAAAAGAACCCCCACGTTGCACCTGAAAAAGACCTTGCATGTTCTTACTGGAACAGCATGGAAGTCCTTTCACTGGGAGCTGTGCTTGGATTTTTTCTCCACTTGGGATGGAGTTCAGGAGTTTAAGGGGCGCAATCTGCAGTAGCCAACTGCTTTAAAGTCAGTGGGGAAAATTTCCTTTGAAAATGTCGTAGAGTCATAGAATAACAGAATGGTTTGGGTTGGAAGTGACCTTAGAGATCATCTAGTTTCAACCCTCCCTCCTTTCAGGTTCACCTCTGCGTTGTCCTTGGGATGAAGGGGACCAGGCAGCACCTTTGCTCTCCCTGTGGGAGGTGTACCGGGGAGGGACAGACTAGCTGGATATCTCCATCTTCAGCAAGTCTCCTGAGTGATTTTCTGTGTCCCCCACGAATCCCTGCACTCAGAAATTTGATTAATTTCTAGCAGCCCTTTTCATTTAGGGGAGGAAGGGTTTGGGTGGCCCCAGCTGTCCTGTGGAATGTTAATGCCGAGTGTTGTGCTGTTTGTTACAGAACGTTACCAAAGGCGCAAGACACAAAATAGTCATCAGTATCCAAAAGCTAAAAGAAAGACAAAACCTGCTCAAATCTCTAGAAAGGGTAAGTAATTCACCACTATTTTTGTATTTCTTGTGTTTTTAAGAAGCCAGAAGTTAGTTCTGGGGTGAAGCACTCTTTGGTTTCACGTGTTGTGGGGATCTTCTGCAGGGAAGTCTGATGTTGGGTTGGCCACGTATGAATAATGTCTCAAACACTCCTGTACCAGGTGCAGGTTTTATTTCGCAGAATCACTGAATGGTTTGGGTTGGAAGGGACCTTAAAGACCATCTCGTTCCAACTCCCTGCCATGGGCAGGGACAGCTTCCACTAGACCAGCTGTTCCTCCAAGCTGTGTTTTACAGAGTGGGTCCTAATCCATCTCCGGCACTCATGGAGCTGGAATGGATTTGCCCTGTAGCCCTGGCCAGCTCCAGGATGTTCAGAAAGACCTGAGCTTTCCTGGAATGTCATATGGGCAACCTGTTCCCAGATAAAACACCAGACACCCACATTGGTGTCCGAACAACATCTTGAATTTCCAAGGAGAACAACTAGAAACTTCTTTATCACCTCCACAGAAGCTTAAACCCTGCAGAGAGGGCTGTAGGGAAGCAGCAGCACCACAGCCTTGCTGAGAGCAGCTCACCCAACCTCTCCCTATTTATTATCACTGTATTATATTATATTTAATTGCACCATCTTCAAACAGCAACTCGCAGAGCCTCCCACTAGGGGCTTTTAAATACTTCTGTGGTGTGTTGCTATTTATTGGTGTTTTCCTTAGCTCACTGCTTCACTATTTATTTATAATACGGGCTTGTACTCAGAGTATGGCAGGAGCTAATAAAGCCATATTTACCTCCATTATTAATAATGACTGTTAAATCCAAGAGCCAGCCCTCTGGCTGCAGCACTCTGTTTTCCAGGCGATTGCACAGCCTCTTCCCCCACTTCTCCGCCGGGGTTTTGAAATATGGGATTGATTGAGCGGCGCGGTGCGGGAGCTGGAGCCCGGCTCAGCTGACCCGGCACGCCGTGAAATCCGGGAGAAAAGTGGCAGGGACCAGGTTTGGGCCCTCCTGGTGTGGGTTTGGGCTGTGGGGCTCTGACACTGTCCCGCTTTGCTGGGGCTCAGAGCTGCCTGGGAACTGCTTTCCCTGGGAGGAGACGTCCCCGGTTTTCCAGGCTTCCCATCCAGTTTTTTGCTAAACAAGAGCATGTGTGGGACTTGATGTTTTTGGGCAGTGTCTCGCTGCTAAAGATTGCTGCTTTCTTGGAAAGAGGTGCTCCACCCCTCTCTGCCGGTTAGCAGAGCAGGATTTTTTCCCAAAAAACAGTGCCCAGCAGACTGACATCATATCTTTGAGAGAAGTGGAGCTGAGACATCCAAGAGCAAGCTGGAATTAGGATGAACAACCATTTTGGAGCTTACATGCCAGAATCCCATGTGCCCACTTAGTGTCCCTTCCCTCAGGACATCCAGGGCTCTCTCCAAGAGGTGCCTCTTTCCAAACAGTGTCCCATGAGCCAGACTGTTCAGGAGCCTGCAACGAGCTGTTCCAGGCTCCATTAAAAACAAAATGCAATTGTTTCCCATCAGTGGGATGAGGATCTGACAGTAGAAAGGAAGTTCTTGATCCACACCAAGAGCAAGGCTGGGGTGCACCTAAATTCTCTCCCTCCTGGGTGGACCTGCCCCGGGATCTCCAGGCTGGATGTTTTTCCTATAGGGATATCAGTTCACCTGCAGCCTCATGGTCTCCCCTTCTGTTTCCAACCACAATCCACCTGCTCCCCTTGAAACCCTCCTGGTCCCTTCTGCCTCCACTCTCCCAGCCCATCCCAGTGTGGTCAGGGATTTCCTGGCTCCTGCATCCCAGAGTGGTCCTGGGCTCTGAGATGATCCCAGAGCTTGAGGATGCCATGGCAAGCAGTTTTGGGGCAGAGCAGTTAATGGGGAGCCGGGCTTGAAGGCAGTGCTGGAAACTGGAGACACGCCCATGTTAATAAATGAAGTTCCAATGAAATAGAGCTGAAATGAACTGAAGGAAGGGAAGGGAGAGGAGGAAGATAATCGCTGGTCTGGGCGTTAAAATCTCCCAGGCTCAGTTGCTCTCCTGGAGTTGCCATCTTCCTGGTGGAAATTTGGAAACACTGAAGCAGGACTGTTACTGGGTTTGGGTCCCAGTGATTGACAGGGCACATTTATCTCTGGGAATTCAGGTCTGAACACATCCATGGATAATCAGATACAGTCTCTGCAGCAGCTCCACACTCTCCTGGTCTAAGGGAAAAACTTGGGCAATTAAACGTGGCTGTTGACTGTGGAATGCAGCAGGATCCTGGAGGGGTTCTCGGGGGCGTCACAGTCAGGGTCTGGTTTGTAGCTGGTGTCCCGTTGTCCCTGCAGAGACAAACCCTCTTCTCTTGAACCCACAGGACATCCTGGAAGGTGGCAACTTGCGTGTCCCGCTGCAGGAACTACACCAAATGATCCTCACCCCCATCAAAGCCTACTCTTCCCAGAACTCGAGCACGGAGGAGCACAGCCGGGACGCGGACTCTCACCACCCCTCCTCCCTGATTGGCTCCGACGGCCAGGGCTCCGACTGCAAGGACTCTGCCGCGGGTGGGATGCAGCAGCACCACTTGCCGGGATGTGAGGGCGAGTCGGGGGGGGCCCCTTTGCCCGAGGGTGACCTGCCTGGACAGTTCACCCGAGTGATGGGGAAAGGTGAGCGGCTGCCACTTGTCAGGGGCCACTTGTCGCTGGGGAGGGCTGCTTCGGGGTGGGGAGTGTGTGGTGGCAGCACTGGCAACCGCCTTTCCCTGAGCTCCTGCAAGTCCCTGTCTCAAGGGGTGAGGATTTTTTTGAGGTCCCTTCATGCTGTGGTAAGAGCTAAGAGTGTGGGGTGGGGAGGTGGGCTGTGATTTTGGGGAGGGGCAGTGGTGGGACAGGCTGCCTGCCCCAGGTTTGAAATGGAGAGCATCCTCTCCCTGCCCCAGTACCATCCTCTACCAGCCCCAGGTCCAAGGTGGATAGTATCCTTTCCCTCAGGTCAGGGGTGGAGGGCATCCTCTCCCTTCCCATTCAGAGCCCTGGGTCATCCCAGCAGTCCAGAGGTGTTTTCATCAGCATCCCTTGGACTTACTCTGTTTGTGGGGAGGTAGCAGTGGTGCATGGGCTGGACATGAACCATCTGGAGTGCCAGTCAGTGGGTCCAAGCCCCTTTTTAAGCCCCAGTCTAGATGCAGGACTTCCAGAATACTCCGGTGCCATTCCATGCCCGGTGCAGGGTGCACATCTTTGCATCAGGAATAACACACTTCAGGTGACAGAAGCAATGTGAGATGGAGACTGACCTCCTGTGCTTTATACAGGGCTCTTGGAGCAAATCTGTGTGAGCTTGGACATGCCCTAACCCCTGTTAGTGGCACTTGAGGTGTCAGTGCTGGCTGACTGAAGGAAGATCTCCCTGGGGAAGTGGGAAAGGGGGGATCTCATCCCCAGAAGACCGGGATCAGAAAGAAACTCTTTGGGATGCCACGAAGAAATATGAGCCTTGTCCCTATTTCCAACCTTTTTTGACAAAAAAATAGCTGAGGTGTTTTCTATGCAGAAACCTGGTGCAGAGTTTGTCCCCAGCTGATTCCCTGCAGGCACAGCCAAACACGGGGCTCTTGGCCCCATTTTATTCCCGTGACAAATGCCAAAGTGTGGCACAAGCCCTGCCAGGACGAGGTGTCTTCCTGGACTGCAAGGCATTCCTGCCCAGGGGTTATGACAGGAGAAACTCATTCCTCTGTGAGCTCATTCCCACTTGCTTTTATGGCACTAGTTCCAAAAGAGGTTAAAATCCTCCAGGAAAGGTGGGAATCCATGTGCAGCAAGGGCAGACTTTAGCCATAGGAGCCGGAACTCTCTTGCCTAGGAAAAGGGAATAATCCTGTGCCCCTGAGTTGCTCAGGTCTAATTTTGGGGACTCCAGTGGTGTTACTCTGGATTTACACCTTCATAACAGAGAACAAAATCCGGCCCTAAATATAGGACGGCACGGCAGGAATTGGGGAAGGGTGTTTTTTTTCCCGCTGATGAGAAAACCTGCCCGTGGTTACAAGGGAAACGGGATGTCCAAGGCATTTGTTGGACTACCCTGGGTCCCATCTGGGTGTCCCCATCCCCATTTCCCTTCTCTTGTCTCTCTTTTTTCCAGTCTGCACACAACTTTTAGTTTCCCGACCCGACGAAGAGAATATAAGTTCCTATTTACAGCTCATAGACAAATGTCTAATCCACGAGGTGAGTCGTGAGGGATCATCTCAGACTGTTGTTCCCATCACTTAGAAACTGTTTCCAAAGTGTCTGTTTATGTAAACCCTTCGGTTTCTAACACAAATATTTTTGGGGGGTATTAATAGTAATTCTGACAGAACAGGGCTGGAGCGGGCGGTAGCTCCGACGTGATGCATGGAAATGTTACTTCCCCCCCACGCTCGCTTAATTCCCAAGGCCTGGAGCTGGGAAATTCATCTGGCACGTGACAGTCCCGTCGGCAGCTGGATGAAAGGAAGAATCCCGGGATGAGCGCGCGGGCGGTTTCCATCAGACAGACCCGGCGATCCCTTGGCGTTGCCTCCTCCTGTTTTGCAACACGTGGGATTTTGCAACAGGGGTTTTACATCTGTTCCCGCTCCCGGCAGATGTGCCTTGGCCGGGGGGATGGCTCGGGATGGCCCAGGCTGTGCCACAGGGCTCTGGCACGCTCCTGCCCTGTGGCAGGGAGGGAGGGATGGTGTCCCTGGTGTCCTACAGCGTTTCTCACCCATGCTGGCTGTACCTGGGACAACAAGCTGCTTCCCTCACCTGCCCATATGGCAGGGATCATGAGGAGATCACACCCTGGGGGAGCAGAGGTGGTGGGGGCTGGAGAACAAAGCCAGTAGGACATGGAGCTTTTCCCAGAGTGCCTACACTTTTCCCACCAGTGCCAGCCCATGTCCCAGGAACACCTTCTGCTTTGGCTCTGGCATAATCAGCACCGGGAGAGAGCATCTCCTCCAGAGGGTGGTTCAGAGCAATCAAGTCAGGCACTAATTAACCTCCAGATTGTCCTCCGGAGACCTTTGCTCCTCTCCGCTGGCAGCATGGAGACCTTGGGGGTCTAAAGTTAGCAGTGGTGCCACATGGGTGTCCCTGTCACCCACACCTCCTGCCTGGAGCTCTGGGATCAGGTCTATCCCCTGCCGGGGTGACCTTTGCAGGGAGCCCGGGTGGGTGACAGGGCTCACCCCGGGTCACCTCCCGCAGAGACTGGTGGCAGGATCAGAGCCAAGCTCTGCCCAGCCCTGAGAAGGAGGATGGGATGCAGGATGCCACAGGGCAGATCAGCTTTCCAAATCCCAGCTTTTCCCACCCTGGCAGCATTTCTAGAACCATGTCCAGGTGACAAATTTCACCACCCGTCGGGACCCACCATCAAGCCCCTGCTCTGCCAAAAGGGGTTGGCAGCCTCAGGGCAGAGCCAGGCTGTCACTCTGGGACACAGGGAATGCTGCTGGAGCATTTTCTCCACCTGAGATGAGTAAATCCTTGAGGGAGACCAGGGTTTCCCTCTGGACTTGCTGATGGCCAGCTCCAGCTGCTCTTCTTTACCCGCACACACATCCCTCCTCCCTTTGTCCAGAAAAATATTCATTCAGTTCCTATTTTTCTCTCTCTTTTTTGGGGGACAGGCGTTTACAGAGATCCAGAAGAAGCGGCTGCTGTCATGGAAACAGCAGGTGCAGAAACTCTTTCGGTCTTTCCCTCGGAAATCCCTCCTGGAGCTGTCAGGCTATCGGCAGCAGAGGAGGTAAGCGGGATTTTGGGAGGGGAAGGATGGATGCAGTGGCCAGAGGAAGAGCATTCCAAGTGGGACCAGTGTCTCCCAAAAGAAAAGGATGGATCCTGATGGATTCAGAACTGTATTTTGGGAGGCAGGAGAGCAGGAAAAGCTTCAGCAATAAGACCCCAGGCGCTGGCTGGGAAGGGAATGGGGTTTTACTTGCATGTGGGGTCAGTGCCTTCCCTACTGATCCCACCAGGTTTCCCTGGCTCCAAATCCGGCACTTCCCAGCTGTGCAGAGTATCCCCAATACTGGGCTCTGTGTCTGCTGCCCTTTGCTGATGGCATCAGCAGTGAAGTTCCCCAAAAAGCTGTAAAGTGGCAAAAAAAAGGGCTGTGTTGGGGACACTTGTGTTTGCTCACTTCCAAGGAGGTGCTGGATTTCAGGTCATCCTGGGAAGTGTTGGGGTATGGCAGGAAGAGGTATTTTTAGATCAGTTTTAGCAACATCAACCCTTTGCTTCATTCTGCAAAATCTGGTGTATTGCACTCTGGTGCAAGTGATTTATTCTCCAGAAAGAAAGTGTTTTGGAGATAACTGGGATCAACGGGACAGCTGGGATGAAGAGTTCAGAAGGAAGGATCACAGAACTGGAGTGGTCCCCAGTTCCATGAAACAAAGTATCTTGGAATGGATTAAAACAAGTGGTTTCAGTGTTGGTGGCAGGATCAGAAGTGGAATGAATAGACAAGAGCAAAGGTGTTGGATGGACCTGTTTGCTGCCCAGCTGAATGAGCAGGGACACCAAGGTGACACCAGATATTGAGGGCACCCTCACTGCTTTTGTTTCCAAGGATTACCTGGTTATTTTTGTGTCATTCTGTGACACAAACCATGGGGAGAGGGATGTTGGTGTGTGCAACCCTTCCCTCCTGGAATTAAAGATGGCTTGGTATTCTGAGATGTGTGTTTCAGGATGTTTGGGCTTTGTGGTCTTAGGTCTGGATGGTTTTGCTCTGGCCACGGGGAGCTGGATAAGTGTGGAAATGGGAGTGGGTGCAGAGCCAGTCCCACCTCTGCAGGAAAGCATCTTTCACTCAGCCCTCCCTGGTAAATCTTGGACTTGTTAGGTCAATCTAACCAAATTTTACAGAACTTGAGAAGTCTCAGAGAGGACCATCTTTTTAAAAATGAACCTCCTGGAAGGGGAGAAGGTCCAAGCATTCCCAGTAAAGAAAACCCAACAGCATAAGCTGAGCTTTTATTACTCTAGAGAATCCACACACAAGAGATCTCAAAGAAACCAGGTGCCTGGAGCATTACTTATTTTACCTTATGTTTAAGAACAGGCCCATTTTGTGGGAGTAAAATAAACTTTAAAGAGAACAAATGTGAACCTGAGACCTGCTGAAGGGCAGTAGGGTGCCTGGCACTGGGGAAGAAGAAAGGATGCTGCACACCCAGACTTCCTCCTTCCTGCTGCCCATGCAGGATGGAAGGACCGTCCTCAGTGGGGTGGGAGTGTCGAGACCCCTCTCCTGCAGCACTGTCCCCTTGTCCCCTCACAGAGGGGACTCACAGGGGTCAGTGCCTCACCCCCAGCGCTTTCTCTCTCCGCAGCCGAGGCTTTGGCCAGTCGAACTCCCTCCCGACAGCCGGATCCGCGGGGGCGGGGCTGGGCCGGAGGAACCCCCGCCAGTTCCAGATCCCCTCCCGCAACCTCCCCACGGCCCGGCTGGGGCTGCTGGGCCCCACTGGGCTGCTGGGCACCCCCCAGCGCAGCCCCGCCGCCAGCCCCGCCATCCTCAAGCAAGGCAGACAGGTTGGTCCGCGTTCGTGGCAGCTCCAGCCCTTCCGTCCCTTTTCCCACAAGCTTCCTTTGATTTCCCTCCTCTAACTTGTCTGGATCTCTTTTTTTTTTTTTTTCCCACCACCTTTTCAAGCAACTGAGAGCAGTTTGTAGGTGTTTGGGTTGCGCTCCCCTCGGCGCAGAGGGATGTGGAAGAGGGACCGGCAAGAGGCGGGCAGAGGAAGAGGTGGATGGGGGAGAGCTGAGTCCTTACAGGGGCTTACAGAAATAGGGAGAGAGACTTTTGACAAGGGCAGATCGTGAAGGACAAGGGGGGGAAGGGTTTTAAATTGACACAGGGGAGATTGAGATGAGATATTGGGAAGGAATTCTAGACTGTGAGGGTGGCGAGGCCCTGGCACAGGTTGCCCAGAGAAGTTTTGGCTGCTCCATCCCTGGAAATGTTCAGGGCCAGGTTGGATGGGCTCGGAGCAGCTCAGTCTAGTGGAAGGTGTCCCTGCTCATGGCAGGGAAGTTGTAACTAGATGATCCTTATGATCCCTTCCAGTCCATTCTATGCTTCTGTGAGCCCAAGGGGGTTAGTTATAAATCCGTGCCACAAAGGGCTTTGTTTCACATCCCACACTTTGTTTGCTGCCCACAGAACCTCTGGTTTGCCAACCCTGGGGGCAGTAACAGCATGCCCAGCCGGAGCCACAGCTCGGTGCAGAGGACGCGCTCGCTGCCGGTCCACACCTCCCCGCAGACCATGCTGATGTTTCAGCAGCCAGGTAGGCACCAGGTTTGCTTTTTCACTTACCCACGGCCCACTGAGACAAGGGGAGGTGTGAAAGGAGCTGTGCTGGTGAGCCTCAGTGCAGGCACAGGGCCTGTGCCACCGCGGTGTGTTCCCACCGGGACATCTTTGAATTCCTGAGTTAATTGAACCACAGACGTTACTGGAGGGATTTTTGACCCTGTATATACCATCTTGACTCTCTGTATAATCGTGGTGCTGGTGCTTTACCTACCTTGCTTCTGAAGGGCTCGTGTCAGGCGGAATGGCAGTAGCTCATCCATCACTTTTTCCTCATGGATGGACACGGAGCCCCAGTGTAGAAGGGCTGCCTTTGTGCACTCAAGGGAAATTCTTTCCACACTGCGTGTGAAGGGAAATGGTGCTGTGTCAGTGCTTCCTTCCCAAGCACTGCCAAAATGCTCCTGTATATAGGAGCATCCTCTGAGTCAGGGAGGATCCCGCTGACCTTGGACCCTGACCCTGGAGCATCCTGCCCCTGAGGAAGCCTGTTTGTGTATCCCTTCATTAGCCTTTGAGTGTGCCTTTTCCTACCAACACACCATAACAATTTGCCCCACGGGACAGAGAGTTCCATGCCCTCATCCGCAGGCTCCTGGTGTGGGCTGGCAGCTCCCCTCGCCTCACACGCCACCGGTGTTTAACTGCAGCATTTGGGCAGCAAATGTTCCGTGCAGCAGGAACAGCGGCTGTTCCCGAGTATTGATTAAACACCGGGACAAGGGCACTTTTCTCAGGCGTTGGAGGAGAATAAATGGGTTTCTCCTGCGTGTCGGCCTGCGGTGGATGAGGGCGTAGGAGGATTGGGGAGCCAAACTGCGGATGAGTCGCGAGGAAAATAAGCAATAATTCAGTGCTGGGCTCACAAACGCCTTTGTGCCGGGCTGTGGGAGGACCTCAACCCTCCTGGATCTCATTCTATGTCTCTGTGAGCCAGTGGAAAGCGGGACATGCTGTCCAGCAGTAGCACAAGCTGTATTTGCAGGTTTTGCTGCAGGGTGGGTAAAGTTTGCTGCTGTTTAGTTTAGGATGGGGCATTGCAGCACACCAGAGTTCATGTGTATCCCCCCTTTTTTGTGGGAGCCAAGCCTGGGAGCCAAGCTGGCCATGGAGAAGCCAGACAGCCGGTCTGTGCTGCCATCCCATGTCCAAGCACTAACCCTGCCTGCACGGACAGCATCCAGCCCTGAGAGGTCCCCAGGGCTGCACCTTCCCTGGGTGGGGGTCCCACTCTCCCCCAGCTCCCCCCCACATCTCTAACCAGCACCTGAACCCCTCATTTCCATCCCCTTCTTCTGCAGTGCCATTGAGGCTCCCCAGATTTATCCCTTGGGATAACGGGGAAGTGATGACTATTTTTGTGACCATCTCTTGCTGGAGGTGATTGCACCAGGAATGGAAGTGCTGCCGGAGCCCGGTCAGACCCTCCTGGGGCATTTTTTGGGTGATTCCCCCACCCACATAGAGCAGGGCAGGCAAGTCCCTGACCACGGCCTCCTGTTCCCTGTCTCCCTGCAGAGTTCCAGGTGCCGGTGACTGAACCTGACATCAACAACAGGCTGGAGTCCCTGTGCCTGAGCATGACGGAGCACGCACTCAGCGGTGAGCATTCCCTCCTCCTTGGGCTCTTCCAGCACATCCACGCCGCCTCTGCTGAGCCCCCCAGCACCTGCCCCTGCCCCGTGCCCCCCAAAAGCTGGGACAGGCTGTGGCTGTGAGGGGGCGGGATGGTGGCGGGGCTGGATGCAGGGATGCTCCCAGGGATGCTCCCGAGGGTGTTCAGACAGGGATATTGTCTCCCCTCGGCGAGGTGCCAGGGCAGGGGGTGAAGCCGAACGCAGGGATCACACCAGCACTAGTGGAGTCTGTGCTAATTAGCCACTCGTCAGCTTGCTAATGATAATTAGTGTTAGCTCGCTACTCTCGTTAGCTCTCGATAAAGCCCCTGCCACTGGATGGGTCACAGGCTTTGGAGTGTTTTCCCTTCTGCCACCGGATCCCTCGTTTGGCTGGGGGGTGCGGGAGCCCTGCCGGGCGCTGGTGGGTGCCAGTGGATAACGGGCACAGGGAGGGAGGAGGACCAGGGGGAAAAACAAGCAGAAAAGATGGAAAAGGCAGCAGCAGCAGCGTGATGGAGAGCCCAGTGCAGCACAAAGCACCGGCACCAGAAGCTCCCAGTGCCCCTCACCAACAAGGGATGAGCCCGGAGACGGGATGAGCACGGCCACCAGCACCGCCCAGACCTGGGATAACCCGAACAACCAGCGCAGGTCGTGCTCCTGGCAATCCTGGACTGCACCGGATGGTTGGGGACAGGAGTCCTTGGAGAGGATGAGAGCCACCCGGAGCCCTGGGAGAGGACAAGTGCCACCAGGAGTCCTCGGGGAGGACAAGTGCCACCGGGCTCCCTGCGGATGCGACAGCCCTTCCCGGGGAGAGGGACACGAGAACAAGGACTGTGAGAGGCAGCAGGGCCCTGGCAGCATCCCTGGCCGGGAAAACAAGGACACTGCTGTCACCCGAAGAGTTTCCCCGACGTGTTCCCAGGCGAGGCTTAGCTGTCTTGTTCCTCTGCAGGGTACTGTTCCTCTGAGTTATTTTCTGCAGGTCGCATTCCCCGAGCCTCTCCAAACCGGTCGTGCTATAAATAGCTCTTAAAAAAATAAACCTTCGGGGGAGAAAAAAAAAACAAAAACAAAAAAGGTGTAACAAACCTGTTTGTTTTCAGTCTCGAGGAGGGAGGTGGCCATGGTGCCCCGGGTGGCAGAAGAGGGAGTGCTCTGTTCCAGAGCCACCCTGGGAGCTGCCCCACACCACTCTCCATCCCAGGGATGGGGGTTTGGGATGGGGGACAGGGGGGTGGTTGGGGCTGAAGGGTTGGAAATACTGTTGGGTGCTGATTTCTGGCCCCAAGGGGTGGGGAGAGGGGGCAGCTGGTAGCAGGTTGGTTGTGAGGCTTTGGGGTGGGTTGCGGGATCCCTCTCTGCTGGGATTGGACTGTGGCTGGATGCATCCCTGCTGCCACGGGATGCTGGGAACAAGGGCTCTGGAGAGACAGAAACAACTCCTAGAGCTTTTTGTCCATCCATGTTTCTCACGGAGGAAAATTTTGCATCCTCTGTGGTGCGAGTTTTGCAGGGCTGGGTGAACTGGGGGGCAAGGCAGCCCCTGGGACTGGCTCCATCCCCATCCCCTCACTCCTGGCCAGGGTGGCAGGAACTTGTCCTGCTGTAGGAGGGTCCCAGACTCTCATTCACCTTGTGGCGAGTCTGGGCTGCCGAGAAACCGCCTCTGCTCCTGGAAAAGGGGTCGTGGCAGGCCTGGAATGGTGTTGGGACAGCGACGCGGGGGGGCTGGTGCAGGGTGGGGACAGTTGGTGACACGGAGGGACCAGCAAAGTGGTGACACCCCAAAACCCTTCCACACCCCTTGGGGAGATTTGGGGAGGAGGGTGGCCCCGTGGTGCCGCCTCACCTATGGGGTGGTGGGTCGGGGGTGCTCCAAGGGGTCCATCTCTCAAATCCCCAGCTCGGGGAGGTACCAGTGCTCACTGGAGCTGTTCCTAACTCTCCCTTCCTTGCAGATGGTGTCGACAGAACCTCCACGATCTAGAAGGCGTCGCGATGGGGACGCTGGCCGGGACAACAACTGCTGCGGGTCCAGCGGCGAGGTCGGGGCTTGCAGGGAGCCTCAGCGATAGCTTGCATCCTTTCTCCTCTCCTCTCTCCTTTCTCTCTCTCTCTCTCTCTCTCCTGTTTTAATTTTGTGAATGTGTAGATTGTCCTTGTGAACATATCATTAGACTTGGAATTTGTGTTGTCATTTATTACATCCATGCTGGGGGCGGGTTTGGGGGGGGAAAGGTGGTGGAAGCTCAGCGGCGATGACGGAGCAGCGCGGGGAGGTCGGGGGGGACGCGGAGCAGAGCACTGACAACGGAGGGGTCACCGGAGCACCGTGGGCAAACCCTGGTCCTGGATGAGGATACCAAGGAGTATGGAACATCACGCAGGGGTGTGTGGCCCAAAAAGCCCTCTGGGGAGGATTTGCCTGCCCCGCCGGCGGTCCCGCCTCTTGAGTTCCGCTGCGTTCACGGACTGGCCCAGCGAGCCCAGATTTGAACAGAAATAGTAAAATAACCCCAGAATTTCCTTTCGGTTTAGCCAAGAGACCCACAGTTTGGAGGCAGCATTGTGCTCAGGGCAACGGAGGGTCGGCGGGTGCCCATCCCTGTGTCCCTGCATGGATCGGGATGCTGGATGGAGTGGGGGCATCTCGCCCAGAGGAGGGTCCCAGGGGATGTTGGTGAAGTTGGGGAACACTGGGAGAGTTTCAGTGTCTCTTGCCTTGCCTGTGCAGGTACCAGGAAGCTGCTGCATCCTGGCTTCACACATCTGGCCCAGCCTGCCAAAATCCAGCCATGATGGGCTCTTCCAGCCCTGGGGTGGCCAACAAGGGATGAAGGATCCCCCAGATAAAACCCAAACCCCAAAGGGCACCAAAATGCAGCTTCACAGCCCTGTTTTCTTGGCATTAACCATGTGCCAGGCAGGAGATGGGGACGGCAGCGGCTGGGCTGCTCCTCACCCGCTGCTGCTTTTTATAACAGGAGCTAAATTTGGTGTTAAAGAGGTAAATCTGGCCTGGTGCTGCTCAGACCTGCAGCGCTGCTCCCACCTCCCACTGGTCCCGATGCTGCTCCACATCCTCTGATGGAATAATAATAAATGTGAAATTAGTTAATGAAGGGAGGTGATGGGCTGCAGCAATATTCCCAATTGGCACTGACTGGCAGGATCATGTGCTGGGATCGGCGGGAGCCAGGCTGGGGGCTGAGGGGGAGCCGGAGCATTGGCAGGGCTGGGAGATGTGTGAATCCCAGGAGATGTGTGAATCCTTTTGCCATGCAGTGTTTTTTAAGTTGTTGTTTCCTAAAAAAAAAAAACAAAAAAAAAAAACAAACCAAACCCAAGTGCCAAATGCAATGTTTTATGTTTGCTGTTCCTTGGTGTCCTGCTTCCCAGCAGGCAGGAGACTGAGGCGGGGGTGATGGGGGGGGTGGAGAAGGGAAAACCCGAAAGCCAGGGAGGTTGGGAAGAGGTGTGAGGAGGTGGAGGCGAAGTGGGGGGTCAGCGCTGGGGACCTGGGTCACCCCCAAGCACCCCCAGCTCGTGAGGTGTGAAGGGAACCGCCGTAGCAGGAGCCTCCCTCAGGGAGGCTCCAGTGTATTTACAGAGCTGAAATTCTATTTATTCCTTCGCTGACTATGGACACGGAGGTTTTCTGATTGTTCAGAGAGATTATTTTGGATATATTACCTATTAACTTGCTATGGCTGGGAACCATGATAATGTCTGTTATTAACAACCACCAAATAATTCAATTGTGTTTTTTTCGTTTTGTTGTTTAAAAAAAAAGCAAAAGAAAAAAAAGCTTATTTTCCATTGACAGTGTAGAGGTTAATAACGACTTAGTTGTCTCTTGTTTTGTTTTTTTTTTCTTTTTTTTAAGTAAAAACAACAAAGAAAGTGGCTTCAGTTGCGTTCGGGAAGTGCTGCCTGGCTCTGGCTGCCCATGCTGAGTGCGGGCGGCAGAGCTCCAGGGGAAGAAGCTTAAGAGGAAAAGAAATAAAAATTATTTATAGAAAGAAAAAAATCAAAAAAAGAAAAAAAAAGAAAACTAAAAAAAAAAACCCACAAACCCCAACAGTTGCATGAGCGAGGCTGTGAAGTCAAATATTCAGTAATAAAGCGGCAGTGCCTTTCTTTTTTGTATCCCCCGCTCACCCCGCTGCAACTGTCCCATCCCACGCCGGAGGTGTCGCCGCCGCGGGGTCCTGGGCGTGGGGCGGGAATGTTCCCCCCCAATCCCGCTGCTCTCCCAGAGCCAGCCCCGGGCCCCCCCAGCACCGCCGGGGACCTTTTTCCTGGTGCTGTTCCCCTGAGCCGTCCCCGGCTGCGCGGGGAGCCCGGCCAGCTCAGCACCCAAGTGGCCTTGGGTCCGGCGGATGCTCCCGCGGGGAAACAACCCCTGTCCCTTCCAGGTGTGTCCCCCTCCCCAGGGACAAGCCCTGAGCTCGGCTGGGCTGGAGCTGGGCTTTACCTGTGCTCGCTCAGCTCATCAAAACCCTTGGAGGAGTTGGGAAGGGGGAGGTCAAGCCCGGCCAGCATCCAGCAGGAAAATCCAAAACTGTGATTGCCGCCCGCGAGCGGAGCTGGGGTTGGGTCAGCACTTAGGGGAAGCGATTTCTGTTGTCACCTTTCTCCATGTCGGGGTGTGGCTGCGCCCCAGGTTTGGCTTTTGGAATGTGCCTGATGGAAAGTGGGTCCCGCAGACGTCTATAATTTGCACACAGCGACGATAACACTAAAGTTGATTTTATACGAGTCATCAGAGTTTGCAAAGTGAGTTTTATTTTTTGTATTCCTTTATCTTTACTTAAAGGTGAATGTGTATTCCTCTGGGAGGAATAGGAAGAAAAAAGAAAAAAAAAAAGAAAAATACGTAAAAAAACCAGGAATGTTAATAATGTTAAACAGAATACTTCCTCCCTTATTAATATATATAACCCTGATGTATTTATGCCTATTGTAAGCTGACTTTAAAGAGCTTTGACCTCTCTTCTGTTGCATGCCGTTCCCGGGCAGCCTTTCCTTGTCCATGCATGCCTTTCGTCCTGGTTTTTCTGTACAAAGTTAGTGCACACAAAAGAACTATTTTTGCCTAGTTAATGTTGCCGAGCAATGCCTATTTTTTAAATTTTCCTTTTTTTTTTTTTTTTTTTTTTTTTTTTTTTTTTCCTTTTTTCGGTCATATATGGCAATAGCATGTTTGTTACATGTAAAAGCTTCCCGATATAAAGAAATACTAATGTTTGGAGATATGCCGGTCTTTGCAAGTGTACAGTTTTCCAATGTTGTTCCCAGTGAAAACACCCTCGTGATTTCCACTTGCTCCGATGTATTTATTACTCATTTCCTCCCATGTAACTCGGAACCATTGCTATATTTCATATCCGCGGTATATTGAAAGTGAAGGGAGATGATTAATACAAGGTTTTGTAACACTGGGGTGTGGCGCCTCCTTATTTATCCTCCTCTTGGCAGAATTTTTAACAAAAAAAAAATGGAATTAAACACACGTTCAGCCCCGTGGGCGAGAGGGAGGAGCCGTGCGGTTCCACAGGGGGGTTTAGTGTCTTTATATATAAACTCGTGGCGGGGCTTCCGAATCCCTGGCATTCCCCACACAGCTGCTTCCATGTCCCTTGGGGATGCCCACGCCCCGGGAGATGGTTAGATACAGGGTTTTCCTTTGCAATTGGCAGGGATTGGGGCGGGAGCAGCTCGGAGGCTGCGGAGGCACACGGAGGAGCCGGCTCGGCCTCAGCGTGTGCATGGAGACATCTGGGGTGGGATTTGAAGGTTGGGTTCGTTCTGGGCTTTAAACCTGCACGTTTCAGACCTGCCTGGGGCTGGAGTGGGTGGGGAAGGACACTCGGAGCAGACACTCGGCCGTGGGAGGTGCTGAGGGCGGGACTGTGGCTTCTGCCCCTGCTTTTTCCATGTTTTCTCAGACTGAGCCTCCACTTCTTCAGGCTGACCAAGCCCAGCTCTGCAGGCTCTTCCCGGCCAATCCAAGCTCTGAATCATCACCTTGCCCATTCCTGCCCTTGTGTCCCTTTCCCTCCACAACACTGTGGGCCTCCAGAGTGTCCTGGACACAGCTCACTGCCCCTCCACAGGCGTCAGGGGGGCTCACGTCCCCCACAAGGAGCAGAACTGGGAAACGTGGGGCTTCTTCAGGTTGTTTGAAGGCTTCATCTGCTGCTCCTCCTGGGAAGAGACTCCTC